TGATCCCTGGTCTTCTCATGATCCAATCCTATACCTTTAATTCCAATAAGAATTGTACCATTTAGATTTTGGAAATTTGCAACAGTTCACATCCAAAGAATTCCATAACAGCATGTATATTACATGTATGCTTGTATGTTAGGGGCTCCTGGGACTGCTACAGTCCACTTGTTTTTCCTCCTAGACTAAACCGTTCAGCAAAATACAACCTGGAAATGGATCTGAAGGACAAATTCACAGCTTTGACGATTGATGATTACTGTGCTAGCTTGACAAACAACACTCCTGATATCAGATATGCTGATATTGCAGAGAATATAAAAGGAAAGTAAGTGGGTTTTTAGTTCAATGAACATATAATAATTATAAAGCTGGTATGAGCTGCTTCAGTAATAGTAAGATTTTGTGTAAAGCAGACTATAGCTGTCCATCATATGTGTGCTGCAGTTTGTTTTTTTACTTCTGTCCATCACGTTAGAATCCATCTAATATGTCTATAAGATAACCCACAATAATCATGTTCCCAGTGAACTGCAAGTGTACTAAAAGTTTTTGAGGATCACAGTAAGCTAAGAAAAAATTTCACATGTTGCTTAAACTCAGAAGAGATTTACTAATGTAACTTCCTCTCCCATGTCCTAGTGAGGAGAGTGCTGGACTGCAACATGAGGTGTGGAGTCAGTTTCTGAATTAGTCATTAACCTGTCATATGCACCACTTCTGTGTGGGTTAGTTTGAATGGTTTAGATGAAGAAATAGCTATCACAGAAAAACAGGCTGAAAAGATGAAACATATTGAAAAAGCAGTGTGTCTCTCAAGTCTCCTAGGGACACTATTGGCTGAAAATTGACAACCTGGAACAATGAGAGACTGACAATTTTTGCTGCTGACCTCTTAGCATGCATCAACAGGTTGTATAACTCAAACCACACCGAAAATGGTGTTGGCTGCTACCTATAAATTACAATTACAGCTTTATATATACAGCCTGTGTAACAAGGAACCCTCTGAGGAATTTTCCAAGCACCTGCCTGCAAGCCACTAGTGTACAGTTAGGGGTTGGCTTCCCAGCTATCACTCCAACCAGGTACAGTAACTTACTGTCTTATAGGTGGTGAACTGTGTGAGCGAGCAAATGAGTTGTGTGAATAGTTACCGGCTACTGTTAGTAACAACTGGATTATATTTGTAATAACAGCTAAATTAATGAAAGGCGTTCTAAGAAATACTGATTATTATCTGTGTTTTCCCCACAACAACTCAATAGTTTATCAGGGAATTTGTAACAAAGTTGCTCTGTGACTTTAGCAAAGTTGTTTCCATCCTATTTTGTTCTGAAACATTTGCTACAGAGAGGGTCTTTATTTTGCATCTGTAGAATTGCCACCATCACTGGCATTTCATGGGATATGCAGTTCATAGTACCACTTTGTTCTTGGTTTTGTGGAATAATTACAGATTTACAAAGTCACAGAGGGCCTGATGCTGCCAGTTGATGACCTTTTATCTTTAATCTCTTGTCAGTTTCGTTAGCCCTGAAGACTGGATATATTTCTCAAACATAAATGTCAAAAAGGCTGACAAGCAGAGAAACAATTCTTTGGCACTGAGGGTGCTGATTGGTGGCATCCTCTCACAGACAGAGAATGACATGCGCAAGCAATATGAGACAGTGAATGCTGCATTTAGAAACAGGGTGAAGGAAGTCAAGGATGCTAAGCACAAGCTAGAGACACTCCTTGCAATGGTAAGTGTTAGGGGACAGTCTGTGAAAAACAGGAAACCCATGGGCTTCAGCTGTCTGCCAGTTTTCTAAATCCAGTGGCTTGAACTATACTTTGCTTTAAGAATTCTACCTTTTCAATACTGGCAACCCCTGCTACATTCCCACTCTCTCCCCCACTTCCCCCATTAAGGTCATCTTAGATTTTATTTTCTCAGCTCTGTGTGCACCACTACAGAGGTAAATTGTTGGAATCATTCACACAATGTGAGTGTTGCTGCAGACATCAGTAAAGTCATTACTTCCCTTGTGATTACATGGGGCTTCTATAGAATTCTCTCAATTGTGATATAAGAACCTAATAACTTATAAAATCAGGATCAATGTGCTCAAAGTTTGATACATGAAAACTGATTTATACTGTTAAAAATTAATTGCTGAGAATAAAACTCCAGTTCCACTCGGAACAGTGTCACCTACTTCCCAATGAATGAATCAGAATTCTGGCTGACCTTTGTAAGATATCCTTTGATGAAATAACAACATAAAAAGCATTACTGTGGTTGTCACTACTGTAATTATTAAAGATGTTGATGATTTTACCCACTGTAAGAGACAGTACTTCCTTCCATTGAATTAATTAAGGTGATGGATGAGACTGCCTCACAGGAAAAGAACATTGCAGCCTTAAAGAAAGGAATTGCTGATAAAGAAGGACCTGTTAAAGTGGCTCAAACCCGCTTGGAAGCAAGGAACCATCGCCCCAATGTGGAATTGTGTTATGACACAGTGCAATGCAGGCTGATCAGTGAAGTTCAAGAGATTACAAAAAATATTCAAAGGCAAGTGTAAATTATGACAGATGGGAAAATATGTAGTATAGATTACTGGATTAATTTAATGACTCAAAGTAACACTGCATCCCAGCTATTCTCCCTGGAAAGATAAAAATTGCTTTTCCCTTAGGGGCAGGACACTTTCAGGGAAGCTGCATGGGTATTGTCCCTTTGAAGCCCTTCCATTTATATATTTTTTTCCCCCACTCAAAATTCTTATCGCATTTGGAAAAAACTATCCATGTGTTTTCAGCTATTATTTGATACCGTCTGTATTTTCCTGGTTAGATTAAAGAATGCACTGGCACAGGCTGAAACAGAGCTGAAAGGTCTGCGCCGCCGACAGCTTTCCTTGGAGGAGGAGATCCAGGTCAAGGAGAACACACTGTACATTGATGAAGTGCTCTGCATGCAAATGAGAGAGTCTGTTTACATTAACAACTTCTGAAGCCATCATACTGGGAGATAGTATGTGCTCCAAAGAGGCA